ACAAAACAAAACAAAACAGGGAGCAACCCTAATTGAGCACTAATTGGGAGAATGCAGACAGATTCTAACCCAACTTTTAAGGGCTAAGCACTCAAAACCTTGGGCCTGGCTGGTCAGATGTAACCATTGCTGTTTCTCCGATATATAAGCTATTTAAATTCTTGCTTAACTAAATGTAGAGAACTTTGTAAATTTTGGTAAATTCTTATCCAAAGCAAAGTTAATTGACATTTTCAATGAGCTTCAGGTGGCAGACAAATCCCACAGCTCATGTGTGTTGTGCTTAAACCATGCAAATGCACATGAGAACATTGCAAAATGTTCTCTCTTTCTGCTTAGAGCTCTCATGCTATCCTGTGCCAGCTTCCCGCTCTCGAGGCCCCCGAGTCACTCTTTCGCATCCAAGTAGATGACTGGCAACCATGGGATTGGCATGATTGGCAATCATCAGCATTACGTTAAGTGCCCATGAACAAAATTCACCTGCCCTCCTGCATGGCACCACATTATGTAACCCTTCCTAGAAGAGGAACAGTATATGAATTATGAGAGACAATATGACGCTGAAACTCCCTGTTTTAGCTAATCTTCCCATTAAGACCTTCTGAAAATAGCAACCCAGGAATAGCTCCAAAGGAAATGGATGCCAACTTTGGGCCTATGTAATTTGAGTTCTGATCAAGGGGGAAGCAAAGTTATTTTGAGCATAAAAAACTTATAAACTTATATATGAGTTCAATCTTTATATGCGAAGAATTTGATTGTTTTAGAGGTGGATATTTGTACTGAGCACCCAGTGAAACAAGGTCCTGCAGAAACTTCTCAAAAAACAAGCCAGAAACCATTTAATGGGTTGGCAGATTCACACTTCCCGCCTGCCTTTAATGCCTTCCTTTAAGTGCATTAAAACAGACATTCCTTGCTGTCTAAAAAAATCAGCCATCAAAATTGCTTGAATTGATGGCTGACTGCTCACACACCCCAAATGGGTACCCTGCTTAAAAAAAGCTTTTCATTCCTTCACTTAAAACTGCACACTCGTTTTTGAAAAAAAAAGAAAACATCCTTCATGAAAAACTGTTGCATTTGGAGGACTGAAGCAAAGTTGTACTAAAATAAGAAATATATTTAAACAAGATCACTGATGCAGTTTTTTCTGGTATGCACATGAACTTATTTTACTTACACTTTGGTCTTACATATTTGCAATAACACCTTGATCTACAATTTTTCATTGATTTTGCAATGGTAAAAACCAGCTTATATACCCATATTCTGGCACATAATGGCAGATCAACAAACTCTGAAAAAATCCAATGAGAAAGCAAAATTACAGATTAGCCTAGATGCCTAGTTCTGAATGAGGTGCTCGAGCAATACAAACAGAGGATCCGAAGTGTGAACACATGGCAGAGAACTTCTCCTTCTTCCTCTCCTATGGACTTTATCATTGCTAGACTGTTTTTGGATGCAACCATTCTTAATAATGTTATTTTATTGCCCCTGACCTGTTCTATAATGGTTTTAGGCCAAGAAGTTCTTCCTACATTTCTTTTTCTATTGATTCTACTTTGAATGATTATTCACGACAATCTGTATTTTTCATTTCTTATTATATGACTGAAATATTCTGATTTTCCGCATTTTATGTGTTTTCAGATTTTGTGGTTTTTATAGGACAACTAAGATGTTTCACCTGTGCAGCTGCATGTCATCTCACACTCGTCAAACAGGTAGAATGAATATTTTTGCAGGAAAAAAATCCACAAGCTAGCAACAACAATCACGACGACGACAACAAAAGGAAGAAGCTAATCAGTGGCAGCAAACTGTGTGGACCAGGATGGTGCTAATCTTGAAAACTTGCACGGATCTGCAGGGAAGCCCTGGTAGATCTACTTTACTTACTCCATCAGCAACGGAGTGATCACTTGCGGTGACCTCTAGCGCCCAGCCCGAGCACAAAGCAAAGTTTTTCCTAGTGCAAGGAAACCTGCAGTGGCCGGTGGCAGCATGAACGAATCGTGTAATTGCCTGCCACAGCCGGCTAAATCCTTCTGGGAGGGTACAGAATGATGTTGGGTGAATCATGGCCAAAACCTTCTGTCCTTAATATCCGACCATTCAGCTTCAGGGACTGACCCTATTTTCTACACCATACAAATTTGTATAGATCTTTAGCATATCCCTCCTTATTTGACTTTTCTCAAAGGCAAATTTAAAAATAAATTTAAAAATGGCACAAATGCTTCATCTGGCTGCCACTGGCCACCAGTCAGTGCATGGGTCCTCTTTTTCTCTTCTTCCTCAGCTGTTCTATTCTGGTGATCACTAATAATATTATGGCACACTGTACCGTGGTCCACCACTACATATTTACCATGATTTGAGGTTTCCACTTCTGCAGTAATATCATCCCATATATAGTATTTCCAATTAATTCAAATTAAACCCAGTCAAGTTGTATTATCAATGGAAAGCTTTATAGAAGCATAAATCTGGTCCTCATGATGGCTATTGCATTCACATGATAAGCTACTGGCAGTTAATATTACAGTGGTAAGCAAAAATCTTGAGAATCAGGAAGGTTGCTGAGATGTTGGATGCAACACATTAACATCAGGGGTTCTACTCATAAGAAGATAATTCTTTGTCACATCCAAAGGGAACACGGGAGGGATTTGCTTAGAACTCTGTCTCATAGCTACTTCAAGGCACCTTGAAACTACCTTTGTGCAGCATTCAGTTATGAGAAACTGATTGTGAACTCTAATTGTCAAACAGATGGACTGTAATATTGTCTGTGCCCTTTCCGCCACCAGACATTTGTGGGGACAAAGTGTATTCAGAGAATCAGTCAGGTGAGCAAGCCAATGCACACTCAAGTTTACAGCAGCCATCACATGGAACCAGCTTCAGTCTGTCTTCATGTGGTACCAGTCCTTAATTCAACCAAAAACAAAAGAGGGACTAGATGTGACCACAGCTTAACCTCAAATGGCCAAGCTAAAACAAATATACCATTTTTATGGGATTAAAAGAGACTTGTGGGCGTAGAAACCTTATTCAGATAATGTAGGTGCATAAAGATCCAGTTCACAGGTGATGACTAACTTTGAGTTGTTTAATCCAGGTCAGTCATGGGCATGTGGTAGCGTCCCCAGGCTACACATCTCTAGCCCTGCTACAGCACTCCCGTTTGCACTGCATCACCCCTTCACTTCCTAATGCCTGAATAGGGCTATCATGCCCAGTCCCTATCCCAAACAATTCATACATCCAGATCATTGTGTGCCTCCAGCAGAGAACAGCATTAATTGATTTGCTCCAAACCAGATGTGCTTGAACAATTCAAGGGGCTGTTTAGTACAATATGTGAGGTGAATTGAACAATTGGATCATTGTACAAGACTTCGTTTTCATCTTTGTGTGCTCTTTCAGGTGCATTTATGAAGAAAAGTCATGCTGTTCACATCATATTTCAAAATGTCAAGTGAAATGTATCTAACTCATTGAAAATTCACTGTCATTCAGAGTACAAACTCACAATAAAAATACTCCAACTTTATGTATAAATAGAATTTGAAAAATACAGTCCAAATTAAACAGAACATGCTCCCATTGATATCCGACATATTATTTAAAAATGAATAAAGCCATTGTGATGTATACATTTAAAATCATTTTCTAAATTAGAAAATTCATTTGAGGTGATGGGAAAAGCTCCAAAATTAGCTTGACAAAACGTATTCACCCTACATGATTAGAGGGGAGGGGAGTTTTCCCTTACAGTACAATTCAATTCAAAAACATACACGGTCAAGAGAAGGAACTTGTGACCTCAGCCAGCCTTATTATTTCATTTCAACATGTTTTCTAGCAATTACAGAATAAACATAGTATATGGAGATGATGAAAGGAAGCCAAGTTGTGGTCCTATGCACATTTACTGGCACCAGTGAAATAGATAGGTCTCCACTCCAAGTAAATGTGCTCAGAACATGGGACACTCCATCTCAGTGCAAATTCAGAAGTCTCAAGGCAGCTGTGATTAATGAGAAATATTAATCCAAGCATCTGAAAAAGAAAAATCTTCACACATGTGGTCCTTGGATTTACTACCAATTTTAATCATAGCAATAGTATCAAAATGGAAATGTAAGGAGGTCACAAGCTCCTCAATTATGCATGACATATTTTCTTCCAGTTTTTTAAATGTATATTCAAAGTAAGGCATATAAATAGAAGACATAGTTTATCTGATGTCTATATCTCTAGATATAGATATATAGATATTACATATGTACACATAAATATTATTAAAACAAATGGATATTTAAGAGCCCCGATATGGGCTATTGTAGCAGCATACAAATCAAAATAATAAATAATATTTATGTCTCTTTCAAAAAGTGGCATCCACCTACTTGTCGATGCAGTGTAGAGTAAGTTCAACATTCTATGTGTTAAATCTGGAATGCATCCAAATTGCAATAGATAAAAACATATTCAGTAGTAAATCCTTAATATATTGATCTTAAACTTTTCCAGATGCTACCATCATATGCTTGAAGAGTAAACATATTCCGGAAAGTACATATAGAAAGATGTTTTCTAGACTTCTGACTTTGGGCTGATAGAGTTGTGCCACTTAAAACCCAGATCTATTTGAAGAAGTTTATTTTTTTCCCATTAACAGATTTTGGTTTCTTCTTCGTCCATAAAATTAACTGCAGTGAACTTCCAGGAGCAAAAAGGTGTCTTTTTTCAAGCTTGAATAAGAGGAGAAATAGTCACTTGTCCTGAAAGCTGGCTACAATTAAAAATATTGAAGACAAATTAAAAATTGTGAAGTTGAAAACTCCAGTGCTCATTCACTATGAACTTTAATGATGTGAGCAAGACTACAAAAGGCATCAGAATGGCTTTACAGTTGGTTGCCCACTGGGCTACAGCTAAACCATAATTTCAGAATTAAATGCAAAAAGGGCCATATTTACCTTTTCCAACTGGGCATTTTTTTTGGATTTGTACAAAAATTCCCCCACTGCCACAAAGACGGAAAGTACCAATCCTGCTGCCAAAACAATGAAGATGCCACCAATATTTTGTACTCCGAGGGCACTGGCATCTTTGCTTTCCTCTTCTGGGCAGCCATTGCCTCTCCACCATTTCTCCTTCATCATGTGCAGCTTGCCTTCCTCTTGCAGATGAAGAATGGCTATAGTTATCTTGTCTCTATATGGAGAACCTGCAGGAGAGCAGAGGGAACACACAGGTCACTAAAGTGTGTTCTGAAGGGAGTCCTCTTTTTCAGTTATGTGAAATCTGATCTGATGAGAAACCTTGAATGCTTTCAATGTCTCTGCCATCAGGAGGCATGCCTTGCCTTTATAGTGAAGCCCACTTCTTGTTTATTGTATATATCCTTTATTTTGTCTGAATGGTTCAAATTCAGGCCACATCTTCCATACATGCCTTGATGGCCATCTGAGCATCACTAAGTCACTTAAATGAACTTTGGACATGATCACCTCAGAACTGTAGCCCTTGACTCTGCAATTCTAACAGCAAAGGAGCTTGATATGATACTAGACTTCCAACAAGTGACCACTGTTAAAAGACCATTTATTTTGCAAAAGGATTGTTCTTAATTTTAATGAAATGCTGTTGAAGCCTTTGGGATTCCAGTGTCCAACAAGAATTGTTTTAATTGTATGAATTAATAATATGAGCAAATAACAATTTGGAAAATAATAATCACTGGCATAAATAAGTACTTTCCATGTTGACAATTTTGATGGAAGTAACTTAATTTGCTTAAAAGTAGCCATCTGGCAACTAAGGAACAATTATGCAGAAAAGCGGACTTCGGTATTCCCTGGTGAATCTATAACCCTATCATTCCCTATAAAACTTCCTTACACATAAGGCATGGAGGTTGTATAATTTACTAGCATATAAGTAGACACTAAATGTCACTGTCTCACCAAAGTTATACCTGCTACTTAGTTCCAAGTTGTCTATTTTAGTCTATGTTTGGACAAACAATTTAATTACTTTAGACATTCTGATGAGAGATAAACCCATTTTTCAACAAGTGTCCAGTGACTAAGAGCACTTTTAACTACTGCTGCGAATGTCTGGGTGCATTACAGTGTTATAGCCCCTCCCAAGAAGACTTACAGCTTACAAATGGCATGGCAGGCATAATTGTCTGTGCTCGGACTGGTACAATATTATTTAGACTACTCAGCAGTAGTAACCATCAGTGACTAGTGCATAAGAAGAGGCAGCCCACCCTTTCCAACTCAAGAAAGATTAAAAACACAACCTCTTAGTGATGATTTCTTCTAAAAAAAATCTGATTATACTCCAGCTTTTCATAAGGCACATGGCTGTTCTAAACAAGCCAAGGAAACATTCAGCTGGTTTCTTTCTTGAACAGCCATGTTTGACCAAATGCCTCACAAATATTGTGTTGTGGCCCACTAAGTCTTACATGAAAAGGCTCACACAAAGTGGAAGCCACCACAAAAAGGCCCTGCTCCTAGTGATTGCTCTGCTCCTTTAACCCTCATATGACGGAGAAATCTTCATTCACACAATATGATCACCAAACTCTTACACAGAACAGATAAGGAGTCAGCTACTATACAATGTTCACACACACACACCATAAATAACATTGGAACTAATTAAAATGGTACATGGGCAGGAAGGGATATGGAAAGTAAAAGGAAGTGGCTTGACTAATGAATAAAAACTGGTACAAATAACAAATAAAGAAAAGCTGGTACAAATTTTACAGTAAATTTAATACACAGAATTCAAAGGATAAGGTTTTGGGAAAGGATTTTGGGGAAAGGATTGGCCGAGACTGGAATAAACAGAGGCAAAACACAACCACCAGCAACCACCTGTTGCAAGATGTCCTTTTTGGAGGGAAAGGTGTCTAAGAAATTTAATTAATCATAGCAACAGCAACCCCAACAGTTGCTTAATAACTGCTGCTCCTAAGAAAGAAAACTAGCACATAATATTGAAATTCACTAAAACAGCTTCTGATATAATGCATTAATGATCCTCCTAGAAGCATTCATATTGTAGTACACTGCAATAGTAGTCTTTTCCTGATTCAAATCAAGTGCTGTAAGTTACAAAACTAAACCCGCTCCTCTCTTTATCCTTCTCTAGAGTTTTCCATTGAGCTGGGACAAAAAAGCCACCACCCAATACAGAACTGAAGCTTTGCACTGGACCACTTTAGACCCAAGTTATTACATATTCAGATATGACCCAAATACAGTCTATACTGGTGTTGGATCCCTGCTTGTATGAAACTTTCTGCATGCCCCTGGAACTTGAACATGCTTGGCAAGAAGAGATACCTAGCACTGAGCCAGAAAATTCTTATTATCACTCTGTAAACACTTGAACCCATTGTACCTCTTCCCAACTGCTTCCAGTAGTGACCATCTTAGATCTATAGGGAAATAATTCCCTATTTCTAGTTGCTTTTATTCCCTCTCTACATTAATTACTTCCTTACCCCCACTTCATTAACAACATTAGCAAAATTGTTAATGAGCAATATGGGAAGTCACATAGCTCAGTGGTGGAGCACATGCATTGCCCAGAACAGGTCCCAGGTTTGTTTAGAATGAACTTCAATAAAAGGATGAGGTGAGAGCAAAGATCTCTGCCTAGAACCCTGAAAACTCATTGCTAGTCAGACTTAATAATGAGCTGGACTGAGTAATGATTGGATTCAGCATAAGGCAGTGCTGCAAGGAATCACAGAATAATGGAAGCGGTTTTTGCGTCCAACCCCATGCTCAGTGCAGGATTCCAAGTTAAAGCGTCTGTGAATATAGCTGTCCAAGTGGCTCTTCAAGCCACAGGCCTTGGACCTATGTATGATCTGAGTGTATATTAAGCCAAACTCTAAGAACAATAGCAATTATTTGCCGCTTTACAGCTTAATCCAAAAGTTATGCTTAGAATCACTGTGCTGAGTCAGTGGACCAGAGGACTACACACTTCATGCTGACATGTGGATCCACATATGAAAATGAAACCAGAATAGATCCATAGATATTTCCAACAATGTGATTTCCCCTTGATTTTACTGAAGTGACTGGTGAGTAAATATAAGATGGAAGGGTGGTTTTGAAGAGCATATTTGTAATAACTCTTAATAGTATCAAGACATTTAGGCCAAAGAATGGTCTGATTGGAAAGCATATGTCTTTAAAAATGGGTCACAATAGATAAGTTTAAGGAATCCACAGAACCTACAGTTTTCCTGTACATACTGTATATCCCATCCCTTTTCAGTCCTGGAAGTCCTGTTGCAAATATTCATAAAATGAATCTGAAAGTCATAGAAAAAATACAATTGGAGTCATGCTGTTACATATATTACTGGGAACATTGTAGCTACGTGGAAATGCACAAAATTTCTGGAAGTGCAGTTTTGTGGCATTTGGGAGCAGAGGACAGTTGAGCATCTGTATCATTTTAAGTTTCATCCACAATCTGCAAGCCAGTCTGCCATTATATGTACCACATAAAGACACAAATGAATAGGCTGGATCACAGCCACTAGACCCATATTTTGCAAATCTGAAACAAGGGTTATCCACTTGATTGGTTACTAGCATCTGCTCTGGATGAAGAAATTTTCTGTTTTGAGACACTATGAGTACTATTGTTGGAGAGAAAGTGTATAGTAGGTTAGAAAGAAGGGGGGAAAGATGTTCCAAAGGGTAACAACATTTTGGACTGGGCAAAGATGCTTCAAGGTCTACCAAGGATCATAGCCACATCAGACTGATCTTCCTAAAAAAATAATGTGCATCTTTCCCAATCTTTTAAGGTTCTGCATCTGTAGCAGAAGTCATTACAATGGTACCTCGGCTCACGAATGCCTCAGTTCACAACCAACTCAGGTTGCAAACAGAAATTTCATAAAAATTTTGCCACAGGTCATGAACTCTGCATCAGGTGACAATCGCAAGCGCGCCCGCCTTCCCTGTTGAGGGGGGGAGATGGCTGCAATTACGGCCATGTTCCCTGCCCAAGCGTGCCTGCACCTGCCTCCCCCCCAGTGCACCCAGTCCACCTCCCCCTGCACGCCCAGCCCGCCTCCCCCCGTGCATCTGTACCTGCCTCCCTCCCAGTACACCTGCCTCCCCCCCGCAGCACACCTGCGATCGCGTCCATCTCCCCCTGCCCCCCCACACGATCGCTGGAGGGGGAGAGATGGCCATGATCTTTGTTGTTCTTTGTCACTTTGCTTCAAATTTTTGTGAGCTAAGAAAAGAGCAGCTGAACGGATTAACCTTATTTACATTGACCCTTATGGGGAAATTTGACTTGGCTCATGACCCATTTGGGTCATGACCAGAGTCCTGGAATGGATTAAGTTCGCGAGCCAAGGTACCACTGTATTTATCCTCAAATCAGAATCATGAACTAAGGTCCCATCTGATATATGTGCAACTGCTTCATCAGCCTCATGTGACACATTTAGTAATTATGAAGAACTTTGAAACTTACAATTAAAAAGAAAAAATAGACACACAAACAGGCAGCAGTCCCATCTTGACTTCCTCATCTTAACTCCAGTTTGCAGAATAAAAGTGCAATCTTGGAAACCACCTAGCAATATGCTTTGCTCTCCATCCCAGTTCTCTTTGCATATAATGTTGCCCAGGGACTGCCGATTTAGCAGCTTAAATAAACGGTCCACATTTAAGTTTTCATTTGCTGTTTCCTAGACCCAAAGAACTTATTCCTTCACCTGGATGAATATTTTCTCTTAGCACTAGCTAGTATTTTTGAAACAAATACAATAACCACTAGTTGATTAAGTCTGGCTCTCAGTCCATAATTAGAAGCATCAGTAGATGCAACTTTTCAAAATATATAATATTAAATTATACAAATAATGGACAAACTCAAACAAAACTAACTACAATCCAAACCAATTATGAGAATTCCCAAAGTACTTTTCCATGTACCATGTTGACAGAAGCAGCATGAAAATCTTTGCATACCATGAAGGACAGTTCCTAAAGATGAGCATAAGGTTTCTAAGATTCTTGCAGACTTTCTTCTGGATGTATATTTATAAAGTTTTAGCTTCGGGCCTATTTCAGGTGCTCTTTAGTACTGTTGAAGATTATTTTCACACTCAAATGTGTTTGTGAACCACAAGAATACTATTATTGTTCTGGACCAGAA